GCCCTGTGACTTGAGTATACTTAGTGAAAACTTGTTCCCTGTTGACTTAGGTGAATGTCCTGATCTGTTTGATAGCCATTATTCACTGTGCTATTTTATCTTTCTCCTTATAGTTTTAGATACTTAATTATGATCTTGTTAGGTCTTAGCTTTTTCACTTCATTGAATTTCTCTAACAAAACTCTAGCAAACTCTCTAGCATGCTCTAACAAAACTAAGAACTGGCATTTGGCTAATCTTGATCAACACCATTTTGTGATAAAAAGTTGTGAGTTTAAGTGATGCATGAATTCTTATCAAAGATAAGTTTAACATCCTCTTCAATACATTCATTAAAAGTATAATTATGTTGAACTATCATCATTTAATTATTTTGAAATATCTTAATAATAGTAACTGAGATGTGTGAGCTTTATAAAGTATTATTTATTCTCACTGGTTTTAAAACTACAGAGGATAAAGGATTGGTCATCAGTAGAGTGTTTTCTTTGGTAATTGTGCAATAATTCATTGCTTTTAGGTGCACTTCAACTTTTAGAAGTGAATGTCCTATTAAGTCCCACTTATTAGACTTTACGGTATTAAATATTAATTTAAAATAAATGACTTTTGACTCAGAGAAAAATTTTACTAATTCAATAAGGTTATTTAACAGTAAGATAGAGTTTACAGTCTTACAGAACTGTGATATTTGGAGGCTATAACATTTTCTTACAGACCTACTTGACATTTATAAAAAGAGGAAGAAAGGTTAATGGAAACATTTTTAAAGGGAAGTCTAATGATAGTGAAACTTATTTTGGCCAGAAATCCTTATTATAAAATATTATCACTTTTACAGCTTTATCTTTATTAAAAAAAAAAAAAAAATAATCCCCAAGCAAAACATCAAAGTAACTAACAACTCTGTCTTGTAAGAGGTGAATTGCCACTAAAGAGCTTTGACAGTTGGACAGGCACAGTGTTAAGAAATGAACTGTTAAAATTCAGACTCTCGTATGTCAATTTGACTTTTTCCCAAACTTTATAGCACAGCTACAGAGTCTGTCATCAAAGAAATACAGATCTATTATATAAGAACCACAATAAGTATATCTCAAGGCTATGTGTATTTGTATGCATGAAGAATTTTGTTCTTTGTTTATGTTTTCAGCATCAAGCACAGAAAATTTTGACTCATTTGATGACTCATGGGTAAAGAATAAAGTGTTGAATAAATTAAGTACAATTTTATCAATATCTACTAGAAAATAAGAAAAGTATGTATCATAAGTATTAGATGTTCAACATTTAAATTGCATGGTCATTAAAAATATATTAGTTATATAGAATTGAGGTTTAAGAATGAATTTATTACATTAGATAAACCTTTCTTATTTTCTGTTCTCTGTATCAATTCACCTACTAAGTCTTTTCAAAGAAACTTTGAATATACTGACATCTACAACATTCAATCAATGCCTTTGTGACAGAGCTATAAATACCTGTGTAACAAGAGAAGTAAGGGAGAGACTATTTGCAGAGGATGCATGCATGTCTGCAATCACCTACAACGTCAGCATTCATACAGTAAAAAGGGTGATGATAAAAAACAAACACCTGAGGAGAATACATTATCTGAAGCTAGCATAAACGGCATAAATGCTTCATTACCATGGAAATGGTGCACTGTACATGACAGCAGAGAAAGTCGGTTGAGACAGATTATTTTAATTTTTATTGATAATATGATCACAGGTGTGCTTTTAATCATTTCACTTCAGGTCTCATCAACTGTCACTAATAATTTCATATGAGAAGCATAGTGCCCTTGTGACATTACAAATACAACATAGAGTTACTTACAGTGTCTGCTGACTGGCAAGTAACTCTCTCTATTGTCAAGGCACAAGTCCAGAAAGTCTATTCATTTAGTAAACCAGAGGTCACTCAACCTCTCCATGATGCCCTGTGGCATTTTCATTTTATGCAAAGTGAGGCTGATGTAATCAATGTCGACAAAGTTTTTGACAATGTTGTCCCAAAGAAACAGTGCCTTCTGGGTGAAGATGAGATGACAAAGAGGCAGGACAGGATTCAGAAGGACCATGAAAGTTACAGGATCATAAAGCTCAGTATAGTGTTAAATTGCTCATTTTAAAGTATATTTCCTGTATAAAAATTTTTGACCTTCACAACTACATTAATCAGTACTGTATAAACACTAATATAATTAATAATAATATTTCTATGTTCATCTATTAAATGTTTTTTGTATTAATATGAGTATATTTTTTTTCCACTAAGAATGAAAGGGAATTGCTTTAAAGACATTTTGTAAGATGGAAAGGAAGGAAAATGAAGTGAAGGGAAGGGACTAATTTGGGTGATTCATCCAACCTTATCCAGTCTATATTAACTAGTAATTCTTCATTAAATGACCACACAGAAAACATGATCAAAATTACATTTCCTTCAGCAGATCTTGCCCTATTGCAAATTTTTGGAGGTTAAGAACTTGGTTTAACGTAGAGAAATGCATTTTAGTCTTGCAAGAGGCTGTCATAATAAAATTTATTGATGGTTTTATAATGCTGTTTTAGCATGTGAATTACAAGGAAAATTTCAAAAGCTCTTAGAAGCCTCTTCAAAGCCTCCAATGAATTTTTAATATGAAATGGAATTCTTCTATGTGAGTGACAATTAGAATAAAATAACTAATATTTTATTACAGAGTAATAAATATAATGCCATTTACTTTATTAATGTCATACTGGAGCCACTAATAACCAGGAGCAAAATATAGTTTCTATTGATAAAAAGTGTTTTGACATGCTATTAATAACATATGTGTTTACCTCTGCTTTCATTTGTTCCCTTTATTATTTCATTTGTTTTGCAACTGTTTTTTGTTATAAATGCATGTTATCTTCATACTAGCATAGTATGAATTTGATAATTAAATGTAACTGACATTGTAGTAATTTAAGAAATCCAGAAGTAAAATTACCACCTTTCCTACTAGTTACAACTATTCCTCAGTAACAGATATAATGACATTAGAGATAACATGCTAGTATCATTTTTCCTTTCTTAAAATATTTTACTTTAAGATGACAGTTTAAAAATGGAAGTAGCAGAATTTAAACAGTTTCATTCAGAATATCCAAATATTTTCTATGTGCTGAAAACTATTTCCCATGAGAGAAGGATGAACAGAAGGAATCTATTATCTTCTGCTTCCTATTTGCTTAGCACAGGTGTCAACCAAAGTAACAGCACAGGGAACAGAAGGGATAAAATCATGGCTTCACTGAAGTAAATGGCAAATCTCCCATTGACTTTAACGGGTCAGGGTTTTTCTAAAACTGTTTTTAAAATCACTGTTTCCAAAGTGTGAGACACTACTGAAGAGCCCACTTTCTCCTCTAGTGAGAGATGAAGGCAGACTGGATGTGCATGGTAGTCAGAGCAGAACATTGAACACTGCCGCTTCATGGCAAAGTTAATATGCTGTAGAGTGCAGAGCTCTTCCAACCAAAAACAATGCATAATTTACTTCTTTCATTTTACATTGTCTCATAAATAAAAGATAAGAGGATGATGAATTATAGTTTGTAAACACTAGAGCCAAATAATAATCATTGATTGCTAATAAACTACAATGAAAACTGATTCATACAAACCAGAAGTTGTACTGCAGCAATAAATAGCTAGGAGGGCACTGTACATCAATAATTCTAATGCTGTTTCTTTGAATATTAATTTCTATTTGCATAGCTGTTGGCTAGAAACCAGTGGGAAAATATTTCAACAAGTTGAAAAAAATCAGACTGTCAACAACTCACTTTTTTACCATATTTCAAGTTAAAATCATTTTAACTTTGCCATGATATATCACCCTGCTTGACAAATTCAAAAGACTAAAAATTAAAGTTAAATATATTGTTATAAAAATTTAAGAGTATCATAATATCCACTTAAAATACGTATTATATCAACACTGAGAAACTCTGCATTTTTTCCTTGATATTTACTGCTTTCAGAAAGCTATTTCTCCATTTTAGCAAGATAATGCTAATGATACAGGTATTAGAAGTTTCATCAAATGGTATAGTTTCTGGCAGCTATGAAAGGTAGACCCTCTGTATTGAATCTCATTGTCAAAGCTGGTGGAGCATGCTTTTCACACACATAATTAATACTGCTGATCCAAATTGTACAGTAATTACAGTATTAGAATAAATGGGAACATGACAGCACATCACCTAAGAATCCTCTGGCAGTAAAAAGATAAGTACAATTGCTGTGCACAGCTTTGTCTAAGCCTTTTAAGACCATTTCCAAGAATCTAATACGTAAGTAGAAAAATAACATCTTTCAGATTCCTTCTTTAATTCCCAACACAATAGTTGTATGTTTTGTGGCTGACTGGAGTTATTTGTATTTGAATCATGGACAGAGGTAAGGAGATAGGAGACAATACACACACAAAAATTTTCCTCTTCTGTACTTGACGAGATCCAGCTGATGAAATTCAAAACTAGATGGCTGCTATCATTCTATTACACTGTTAAAATATTGCAAATCCCTGATTACCTTCCCTTTCTCAACTCCAACATTTCATCTTTTCCAGGACCTTCCAGTCCAGTGCAGTTTAAAATGGGTGGCCAAAAACCCCAGAACATATTCCTTTCTCCTTATATTTGGAAATTTCTGCGTTCCCTGGAGTCTATTGTTGTAAAATGTCCGCGATAACTAAGGTTAAATCACAGACTGCCAAGAATATATACGACTAAACTTAAATGCTAGAAATTTTCCATTTGTGTAGAGTAGCCTAAAAAATTAATATGACCTGTCACAGTCAAACCTATTAGAACCATATACTTTTCCAAAATCTTGAATGTTACACTGCAATAAAACAAACAAGTCCCCACTCACCCCCCACCAAGAGCACCCTAAAAGGAATGGAAGTGCATCTAACATTTATAATCAGTGTAACTGTCATAGAAAAACAATACCTTGTATTCCCCAGCTTACTTGCAGACCAATAGAACCTGCAATATAAGAAAAAAAAAAAAAAATCTGCATAATTAGTCATTGAATGCATATATATACACACATGCATAGAAAGAGAATATTCTCTTAGAATTAGTATATGTGCTTTCTGATTTTGTAAATGTAGGTATAAAAAGAACTGAGCAGTTAAGTATTTCCCTCTCCATGTCCTGAAAGCATTCACAAAGTGTAGCAAGTAACACACCAACACTAAACACATATTGTCAGATTCAGCTAATTACCCAATCTTTATAGGGTGGCAGTGAACTGCCTCCTTTTTAAGAGCTGGTGAATGTTTTAGGAGTCAAACTGCTTTGGTTTTAATTTTGTAATAAGTTTGAAAATATTAGTTTATAATGTAAATGTCTTGAGTTACCCCTATCTTAAATGGAAAAAAATAAAACCCCAAAAATAGTAACAGCAAAACTTCATATCTATGAAGACCTTTGATATTTTCCCTGGCCTAGACAAGTCCTAATCACAGATGAAAACGACTGCATTGGGCCCTGGGGTAGCACAGAAGGAAATGAGATGAATACCTTAAAAAACAAGGAAAGGCTACTTTTCTTACCCCAAAGAGCTCATGTTCCAATTACATCATTCATAAAATACGTTTATTTTATTGTTTCTTGATTTCATTTATTTTTTTCAGATCACACAATATGAGTTCAATCTATGTGTAAGAAATCAAACTTTTCAAATTTCAATCAAATATGATGACCATAAGAATTCTAAACGTAACATTCAAAACTATATATTCATATCTGTCCCTACAAGCAGTCTACAATATTTAATTTCCACTTTATAACTTTAACAATGACAGCATTTATATTAAAAAAAAAAAAAAACAAACCAAAACAAACAAAACCCAAACAAACAAACACAAAACCCAAAACCAACAAAAAGAACTTTTCTGAATATGAAACAATAAAACCACAAAAAGCCTCTCTTTGCTGATGAAAATTGAGTTGCCTACAGCAAATCTCATTATGACCTCAAATTAGAGATCACTAATTTCCTATGCAGGAGACTGATTACCATCATCTAAAACAACAAGATACTCAGTCCCTGATTTATTTCCCATTGCAGCAATACAGAGAATGTCTAAAGGCTTTTCAAGATATACAGTGAAATATAAAACACAATAAGGGACTAAAACTGCTATACAAAATATTATATGTCATCTACTGATAAAAAATATAAGTGCCAGGATCTGTCTTAGTACAGTAAATTCAACATATGTAGTCCAGCATTTGTACTTCCACCTCCCTGCACAAGATCAAGGGAAACATCTCTTAAAACATATTGTTGTTTGCAGGATATGCCACAGATACCTCACACACACATACAAAAAAAAACCAAAAAGCAACAACAACAAAAAAGAGTCATATCTATGAGTTAGACCATGGAGAACCTTCATTTCAAAATACAGAGCAGTAAATCCAAAGTGTTTAATACTTAATGAATAACATTATATTGGTGGAAAAAAAAAAAAAAATCTCTCCATTGTGTCATTTCCAGGCAATTCTGATTTAACAGTACAGTTAGCATCTTTACCAGATTCATCAGTTTTAAGCAAGAAGACCAAATTGCACAGAGAGACTGTAAGGACCTTAATGGTGTCGCAGTGCTGGGATTCTAGATAAAAGCAGAGTTTGAAAAGTTAAATGTGACTTTCCCATAGACTATGTCCATTGTGTTATTTAAATCTCTCATTCTTCACCCAGGCAATAAAAAAACACTTGGGTTATAAGGCAGGTCAAAAGAGTACCAGCAATACAGACGCAAAGAACTGCAAACATCTATTGTCCTCTCAATCCCTTTGCCCATGGATCACGTTGGGTTGTTTTGACTCTCAGTTACAGAATTATCTCATTCTCCTTTAGAGAGCAGGACAGAAAACAAAGTGTTGACTGCACAATGAAAAAGGAAAAATGTCATATAGAAGACCTTTAGAGGTCTACATACAGGATGCTTGTCTTCAGTGTTGCCTTATAGCATGATTTTAGGGATATTTATACCTCGGGCCTATAAATTCTTAGCTGATACACATTATTTTCATGCTCACACACGTATCCACACATAGAGCATCCAAGGTAATTGTGATTTACTACTCAGAGTCAGTATCTGAATGCATGTAAAATGTATGGATACTGACAGAACAAGAAAGATTCTCAATGAGCTTAGTAACACAGTACAATACATATCCAGTAGGGAGAGAATGAACCATAAATCTCATAATATGAACTTGTGTTAGTTATGAAAACCATCTTCTCATGTAGTCCTGATCAGAAACATATAGGCAATGAAGATGAAAGCTTCTGAAAAGATAAAGCCTCATGTAAATGACACTTCATTGAACAGTCTGTGGGAAATCACAACATCTGCTTCAACCCTACAAATAAAATTAATTTAAATTAAGTACATAAATAACTTGCTATGCACATATCAACATAATCAATAAGCAACAGACTCCTAATCACAACTGCCATTAAGATTTGTAGTGAAAGATAAGAATAAAGAGATAATTGCAATCAGAAAACATGCTGAGTAGAAATAAATTACAGTAGATTTTAAACAGTGTTAAAGGAAATTAAATGTTCATCAGAAGTTTACTGTAGCTTATGAAAAGCCCCCAAAACATGAGGCCAAACTGCATCTTCCTCTCCTTACTCCTCATCTCTGTTTTTCTGAAGAGTGAAATTCAGTTTCTTTTCCCTTGCTCTCTTTGTTTGTAGCTTGAAACAAATGTAGATCTAAACCTACTATCAGCCTCAGTCTTTGAAAATGAAAACAAACTCTAAAGAGTTTATTCCATTCTACTATAGCATCATATGTGGTTCTGTCCTAGAGTATGTATTTTCTTATAACTTTCCAAACTTACTTTTCTTGCGCACAACTTCCTTATTCATTCTTTTTCTCTATTTTTGTTATTGAAAAAGCTTTCTGCACTCCATAAGAACATATTTTATTTGTTTCTTTTTGTCTTCTTTCCACCCAAAGTCCCCGGTATTGTTTCCCTTTATGCTTTGATACTCCTTTTACCATTTGTCCTCCCCATACTCCTCTCAGATTTACACATCTTGCCTGTAGCTGGAAATTTTAACACATGCTCCTACCCTGCCCCAAAGTCACCTTTCCCTTCCTTTCCTCTTCTGGTATTTCTCTTTCAGTTCTGTGATGGAATGTGGACCTGTGGTGTTCTTAAAGGGTATTTTGTAGCAGAAATCCATCATGTGCAAAAAAAAAAAAAGAAAATGGGAAAGATCCCCAAATTTCAGGAGATGCAGTACTATTCCTAACTGATCATCAGTTTTTGCTTGTCTTCCTCCTGTTCTTTACCCTGATTTCATCTCTGGTGAGTAAACCAATTGCCACCTTTCTTCTCCGCCCCTTGGTCTCTCATTTTACTGCTGATTTTCTTCTCTCTGTGGACTTCTGTCTCCTTTCTGGTCTAGACAATGCTATGTTTCTTCTGGATTAGCCCTCATTTCTCTCTCTTCTGTCAAACTAGAATCCACATATTTAGTTTTCTGTATCTCAGAAATTACAAGGTTGTCACTGTTGTTATTTAATTCACTGTTTTTCTTATTGGTCATGGCTTTTTTTTTAATTCCTTCTCTACCCTGTCCTTTACTAGGATGGCAACTGAGGGTAACAAAGGAAAGGCAATGATGGAAATAAGCCTTTTCCAGCAGTTATTCTTTATTAAGAACAGGGAAAGTGAGTAGCCTTTCACTTCCTCCCCAAACCAGCCCAAATTCAGGTTTCTTTAGTTTTCTGTTCTTGTGTAACAGTAATACAGGAAGACTATTTTAGATAGATGGCTTATTTAGAATTACACATATCTCAATACCAAGATGATGTTACACACAGATAGTTCTTTGCCCACTTGAGAACCTTTCCCAAAATTATAAGGTTCATGGAAATAGTAAACCTTCATTTCAACAGTGTAGTTCTGCTCTCCAGGAGCTACCTCAATTATCAACAGCATATTCTTTATGCACCCTAAATTCTTAAAGCAGCTGAGGGAATTCTGATTCCAAAAGAAAACACAACAGGTTCCTCTAATGATTTCTATTTGAAAAGATAGTGACTTGTGACATAAACAATTGGGATGAAATTCTTCTCTTGATGATTTATCGCCCAGGGAGATTAATGACTTCAGTAGAAAATATGGCTGAGCATCCTAGGGTACAATTTGCTTCCTGCTGTGTTTGTGTTTACTGAGACTGAAGATTACTCTAGGGAAGATACTATATGTGCAGAAGAGAAACTAATTATATCTGAAAAAAGATGTTGATGGATCAAGAATATATAAGCAAATAATTCCACACATATTCAAATAAAGAGCTTAAGCTAACGTAAATATATACTTATATAGTTCAACAGTGTAAAAACTATAGCATGTATACTAGAATCAACCCATATGCTATCTTCACTAACATGGCATCTGCTAGAAATTTTAATGCTCCCAGAAGCTTACATGTTTGTAGTTCCTGAATACCAAATCTCAGATTTAGGAAAGAGACAAGATGTGACACTGAGTCAAGAAATGTGAGACAGAGTTAATGAAGAGAAGAAAACAGTTTTAGCAGTCTGAATACGCAACCGCAGTCTTGATGTGAGAGTATGGCCCCTAAATATCTCTTCATGTAAATGAACAACTTTCACTATATGACATCATGGGCATAAAAATTTCCAACATATTTTGATTTTTCTCACAGGAAGAAGTTTGCATTGTAAGTTAGTAAAAAATTATTAATTTATGAATGAAGTAAGTACCCTCATTGATTTCTGTCAAAATATAAGTATTTGTAAATCGAACCCATATAACTTCTCTAAACATATACATAAATAAAAATTTATTACACACATTTAATAGATTTAGATGGATTCTCTGCCTGCTATAACATTTAATAATAGGAAAAGTCAAACACACTAGGCAGTTCCTCATTAAAAGAATGAACAAAAAAGAAACCAAAACCCCCAAACAACC